TTTGATTTATAACCGATTAAACTGAAACATGTAAATATGTATATATTTATAACGACGCATGAATATCTATTTGTTACATGAGTTGAACTATAATTATAATTTGTAAATAGCTAACAATTTATTACAATTGAGACATCTTATTTTGATCTTTTGCTTTTTTAACAGTAACTAAATTGAAGTAAAGATTATAAATTTGATGTACAACAATTAGTTGAAATTCTTTACAACTTTTTTTATCTTTAAACAAACAGAGTTGTGTTCAATCGAAGACATATTGGTTTGATGAACACTAAATATGGAAGAATATAAAAAATTTCTTTCATGCTTCTGTTTTATTTTTTATTTTTATTTTCAAAATTTAGTGTTTTGATATTAATTCTAGATTTGATCATTTTATTAGATGATAGAAGCCTTTTTGTTTTTTATTCTTTTATTTAAATATATAATATTTTTTTAATAAATGACTCTGTGACAATATGACTCTAAATATGATCATATTATATATTTGTATAATATATAATATGATCTCAAACTAAATAATTATGATTTTTGGTATAAAATTGAATAAACTGAAAACCGATGGTATATAAACCAAATCAAACTGAAATACATATAGATTTAGAGTAGTTGTTATATTTTAATGATCGGAATACCAAAAAATCGAGCCGAACCGAAACCCGATATCCGGATTGAACACCTCTAATCCGAATGAAACCGAACTATTGTTTCATTTTTCAAAACATAATAGAAATAATAGCTTCATCCCGCGCAAGGCGCGGGTCTTATCCTAGTTACAATGTATATTGAAACCACACAACTCAGATTCAATGTATTTCTTTCAACTGTTGAATACCCTATTTGTGGATAGTCTCAGTTTAATATGGACAAATAATGCTCCAAGGGAAGGTTTCTTTTCTCTTGACGTAGGCACGGTACTGCATATGCAAAAAGATAACAGTACGACAAAAATAAACTAGAAAAATGAATGACAAAATAAATTATTTAGGGTTATCAAATTGATTAATTTGTGGACAACAAAGATAGTTATCAACTAAAGCCTAAAACACCTTTTGGATAAATTAAGATTACAAAAGCACAAATATATACTCCCTCCATTAATTTCAATATAATCCATGTTTTAGAGAAAATAATTTGTTTAAAAAAGATACATATTTCATATTTTCAATGTATCATTTAATGTTAAATTGCAAACTTCAAAACATTTATTAAAATTCTATTGGTTAAAAGTTATGGAGAATAATACATTACAAAAAATAATACATTGGTAATTTAAAATTCATAGTTTTCTTAATATGTGTGAAAAATACTAAAACATGTATCTAATTGAAACGGATGGAGTAATATCTTAGTTCAAAGTTCTATTTTCTAATATTAACTAGATCCAATAAAAGTGACTATACCAAAAACATGTCTTTTATCTTCAACTTTTGGAGCTTATTTGAATTTTCCTGAGTTTGAGAAAACAAAATCTATCAAGAGTTACTCGTATCGTGGTAGTCTAACAGTTTTCATTAGATGAGGAATCACCTTGCTAATCTAGGTTAGGGATGGATTCCCATCCAATGCAAAATTTCTAGTTCTTCATGTGGTTAGGTGAACGTGGTCTCTAATTCCCACTGTCTGTCACTGGTGGGTAGATCCCAAGGAGATTAGTCGTTGCGTCTTCTCGGACACCCTCGGTTTATAGAAGAAAAAGAAGAAGAAAGAGTTTAGGATAGGGCGAATGATTGAGTTTTTTTTTCATGTTTAGCATTGTAGCTATGTGTCTCACTCTAATCTCATCTTTGTAGGGTTTCTTTTAGCCTGTTGAACCATTGAGATATCAAAATGGATGAAGAATTTATGATTACTAGAGAAATTGAAAATATCTGTTTTCTATTCATGGTTGTTTCTTGCTTTTATATCAAGTTTCTTTTTAGAGTTATTTGGTTAATTTTCTGCTAATTATTATGGTTGACTTAGGACATCAAAAACTTTATAAAACTAAACAAAACCTTTCGTTAAAATGTTGGTAACATAACCTAATGTTAAGAGAATATTACGATATTCAGACCCAAAACGCAAAATAACGCAAACGCGATAAGCAAAACAGAGGGGCTAATGGGATTAGTTGACTCGTCATGCGTTTAGAAACCCTTTTTCAGTTTCTTGTATCGAAGAAGACACGAACAACGTCCATAATCTGAGCTCGACAAATCGGGCATTTCCCTCCACTCCAGTGTAGTTCATTGGCACATTTCAAGCACGTGCACATATGTCCGCACATGTACAAAACCGCTTCGACCTGCGTTTCGTCGCAGACGCAGCATTTGCGTTTCATTGGGTTTTCTCTGTGGACTGATTGTTGCAAGCTCGCGTTAGCATCCAAACACGTTTTGACAGAATCTCGTAGTAACGACATTTCTTGGTGAAGCTGTTGGATCTGTGCTCTCATGTCGCTTATCAGCTCCATTTCCTGAATACATTTTAAGCGGTTCAAAGATTTGTACTACTAGTGCGATTATGAACAATAAGAAAAAATACTTACGGGTGAGCGAGGGTTGTGAACAGACAAGACAGGAGAGGAAGTTACTTCTTCAGTGTCTTGAGAGCTCCATGATCCTGCAGGAGACGATGCAAAAATATGAGAAGACGACGATAGACTCGAGTCATCTCTATCGTCCTGCTCTTCGCTTTCCGTTAATGGCTCTTCTTCTTCTTCTTCTTCTTCTTCAACTTCACCCATGACTTCATTGTTCTGTTCCGACTCTTCTTCTTGTTGCAATTCCCAGTGCTTATTAGAGTGTGTCTGCACACGGGACATCATGAGCCTCTCGATCTGCTCTCGTAATCCGCTCTGGAGAAAGTCTGTGACCGTTCTTCTGTAATACACAGAAACACACATTCTCTTAGTCAATGGTTAACAAAAAAAACTTGGATTTGTTGATATGATGATGTTAATTACCGCTCAAGGAGTCTACGTATGTCTTCTTTCTCAGACCGAGTGTTCATTACTTCCAGGTACCGCGACTTCCTCAGTTCCTCCCAGTAACTTCTCGGCCTAGATATTTCGCTAAGCCAGTCGTTGTTCGCTTCTCCGTTATAGTACTCCTCCTCTTCATACTCTTCCCATCCATTCATGTATGATGTTTCTTGTTGCTCAAGGCACTGGTCCATCTCGTTACTCTCATGTACCACACTTTGCGTCTCTAGAATTTCTTGCACACAATTTCCCATTTTGTTCTTGACTGATTCTGGAGTTTCGCTCTCAACAGTTATTATTTCTTTATCTTCGAACTTGTTGTCATTACAAGTTTCTTGACCTATTGTTTCTTGCAGCTGATGGCAACTCATGTCTGATTCAACAGTTTCGTCTTCCTTACATGCCGCTGCATGCTCCTCTTTGTTGTGGTTGGCGATGATCAACTGTTCTTCCAAAGACGCTTCCATGGCAATACCGCCTTTCTTCAAGCTTTTCCTCTCTGTTTCTTTACTCGTCTTAGCAGAGAGAGAATGATTATCCTTCCTCTCATCTGCTGCGTTAGTACGAAATTTCTCCCTGCGTTACGAATAAAATAATTATGATCAGGAAAAGTAAACGCTGAACAAATTTTCAAGAAGAAAGAGTAAAAAAATACCTTAAATGTTGAACTGTCGAGCCTGATTTTGATCTGGTCGTTTTTGCGTTAGAACAGTATTGATTTTGAATCGCTAGACAGCGGTTGAGGTTTCTAAGCCTTAGCATTGACTGAATCTGTACAACAAAAACAAAAATCACATTGAAAACGATGGGGGTAGGGTAGTTATTAAATAAGTGGAAGCATATTAAGTACCTGGAGGCGGCCACGTTGAGAAAACCTAGAAACAGCGTTGCGTTCAAGAAGCCAATCCAATTCGCGGTGGCGATCCTGTTCCATTCGCATAAGCAGATCGGTAAATGCTTGGCGTCCTCGGAGTCTTGGCGAGCAACTAACAACCATCGGAAAACTGCTTGACGAAATGTAAGGTCTCGGGGTTCTGATAAACGAGAGTCCACCGGTGATTACCTTCTCTTCGTTGCTAAGCTTCCGAATTAAGTCAGCAACTCGACCTGAATCAGAAACCGAACCGTGTGACCGAGACTCGGTCTCCACGTCACCATTCTCACCTTCGGATTCATCAGGCGGAGATTCTGAAAAACGGGTATCTTGAACACTGACTCCTGAATCGCTCCGGCTACTGGGGACCGTGGTTTGGTTGTGGCTGGGCGAGTTTCCGCCGCTGGATGGGTTTAGCCTCGCCTCCCATATCTGTACCAGAGAAGAGGCTACGTTTCTCTTCGATTCATCACATTTCTCTATGGGAGATGCAATAACACGCGGTTTTCTAACGCTTGCTTTACCCGTTAACCCAACAATACTATTCTGGTTACCCTTCTTTTTATTGAGAGTCTCGATCCAAGAATCGACTAAATTCTCGGAATTCTCGTTGGAGACTGAAGATTTATAGAGCTCGTGATGATGGTCTTTCACCGGAGCCTTCAGATTCTTCTTGTATGCGAAGCTGTTTTGATTACGATCTCTAAGGATACAACCAAACCTTTGGGACGAAGACGATATCTCCATATGTTTACTAATCATAAACTCATCCGAGTCTTTTCTAAATCGAAAGGGTTTTACAGAACAGCTCTCTGTTTCTCTATCTCTACAAGAGGAAGTAAAAATGAGAAGAAAATCGTTTTGGGTTAGTGTATACACTGAATTTTCTCGTAGAAACAGAGAAAATAGAAACAGAACAAAACAAGCGGTGGAGAAAATACGAGGAACGAAACGATGAAGAAGAAAACAAAACCAATGAAACAGTAATGTGCTTATCTGTTAAGTAGTTAAGACTTTTTTTTTTGCCTCCACCGCTAAAATAAAATGTGTCCTAAAATCGCTCTGTTTTGTCCCTTGAACGTTGGAACGTGTCTGTAAAATAAGGAAATAAAGAAATGAGGTGTAATAACAGAAGAAGATGAGAGATGTTGAGGTTCTCGAGAAAGAAAAGCTTTTATGGCTAAACGTGAAATTGGTTATATTCTAGTCATAAAAGGCTGTAGTTTCGGATATTAAATTAAATGGTAATTGCAAAGAAGTCGATATTCTTGGTAAACACATTTAATTTACTAGTAATTAACAATTATTATTTGAAGAAGGCTCCTAAATGCGAGTCAAAATGAGCCGTTTGGGGATCTAGCCGTTGGCGAGTGGGAACCATGCACTTTCTTGATTTCTTCCACGTCTTTCTTTATTCGGATTGTTTAAAAAAAAGAACGTAGAAGGAATAAAAATTTTAAGTACAAAATATTATACTACTTCAAAAAGGAGAAAAAGAGGAAAAATTAATATTAATAATAACAATTCAAAAAATAATAATAGAAACTACCACATTTTTTCTGTAAGATAAAATAAAATTATATTTAATCAACCTAATTCCAACTATAGACTTATTTGTACATTGAACAAAAAAGAAAAAAAGAAGATCTACTTGTGCAAAAGAACCACATTTCTTAACTAGTTTTGTTCAACCATCACCCCAGCATGTTACACTAATTCAGATCTAATTGTAGTGAGGGTTGAGAGTCGTTCTCAACCTTCGACGAAAACCTCGGAAATATGAGATTCACCTTGTTATCTTGGATGCTAGGACTTCTCGAATCATCTTCAAAATAGTTATCTAGGCCCACAGTTTTCTTTGTCATTGAAGCTTTAGGCGTAGGGAAAGGAGGACGACGAACACAAACCTTGCATCCAATTGTGCATCTGCACATCATCGCTTTCGACCAAAGACAGACCTGAAACTCAACACAAAACACTTCCCAGAGACTAACAATATACACAAAAGCTGTCAATAATATCACCAATCGCAATCAAATGATGGACAACTGACACTAAGATGTGCACTTGGATCAAGAGGCCCACCGCCACAACCAAGACTCGGTCGTTATGCCTCTTGCCAATATTTGAGAACCAAAAGATCAGAAGCCCATGTCTCACATTGCGATTCACCTATGACAAGACGAAGAGCACCTGAATAATAACACACAAGAGTCGAGCCTCCAGTAAACAGCCGTCACTATTTAAAGTAGGAGACATACATTGACAAGACCAGAGGGTCAGAGATGCGAAGAGCCGCCAAGCTGCTACAAGAAAGCCATAGACTACTTCCACATCAAACACCACAAACCCTAAATAATTGGGAAGAGAACCTTGTATCATACCCGCCTGCGTACAATAGTTCACGGCTCACCATCAATTCAACAGAACATCGAAGCACACATGGCTTGAGCAGAGAAGGAAGTGCACCACCATGACGCTGAGGAGGTTCGGGAAACCACCGCCACCACCCACCGTCGTCTCTTAAGAAGCCACAGAACGGCCGCAGCTAACCATCCGAGAAACGGTCAATAAATCCCGAAACATACTGTTGAAACCAATGGGTAGACCAAAACTTGAAAACTGATCTGAACCATAGCCTTAAAAACCAGTCTCCACCGACGTAACCAACCACCGCACCTGGACTCCTGACCAAGCACATCGCTACCGATTTGAAACCTCTTCAAGAGCAAATGACCTTACCAGAAGTGACACCTAGAGCTAGAGACCTGAACAAGACGATAGATAAAGGGGAGACAACAGAAGAGCAAAGCAAGACATAAGAGAGAGGAGGAGGATGCATCCAGCGATGGCATGCACACTCACATGGGGGTCGTACGCCAGAGCCACATATTTACTTTTAGAGGTCGAGAGCTTTTAGAGATAAAGAAAAAAAGGTGTAAAAAGTTCCGGAACAAAACTTAATAAAAAAATTGATAATCACTAACAACATAATTTGGTACTAACATGATGGTTTCAGGTTACGAGTACGTGCTTTAATCCAAATTATAGTAACAAGATATAATTGTGTATTTTACCTAAAAAAAGATATAGTTGTGTAGCCATTCTTGAATTATTTTTAATGCATAATTTTGAGGACGTTGTTTTTGTTTGTTTGTTTTTTGTCACATAATCTACATTATTAAAAAAGAGATTCAAATAAAAAATAACCTTGTGAGATATTATAGTACATATTACCATTAGAAATTATTAAGTTTCTAAGAGTTTCATTAATGGCATATGTGTCTTTTAACATTATAACTTAATCATACAAAATCAGCTGGTACTTTTTTTTTCCAATAGGTTCCATGTATCAATCTTAACTAAACTATTTTCTTCATAAATAAAATACCTGATGTTTATGCTTGGTGGCTATCAAATAAAAATTTCTCAATTTTATTAAAAATTAAGTATAACCAATATTTTTCTATTTGAAGTAATTTCTTACAGATTTTTATTATTTTAAACTACTTTTAACCAATTAAATTATTGTATTTTCTAAATAATTCGACAACATTTACTACAGAAGTACAAAACATAACTCATCTTTTTTTTTTTGACAACGAACGGCTGATCTATTACTCAAGCTTGAGGTGGTCTGGGAATCCAGACCGGAATAGAACAACCAACAAACAACAATTCTCGATAGAAGGATCGAGCAGTCTTAGCTAGGGAATCTGAAATTCCGTTCTGTGTCCTAGGAACATAGAAAATCTTAAATTCGGGGAAGCAAATCTGCAGCGTCCTAAGCTTTTCCAATTCCGTTGAGAAGCTTGGCCAATCCTGTGGATTCTTAAGCATTGATATCATCTCCTTGCAGTCCGTCCCAAAGCTCTGACATGGCGAATGTTGAAGCATGTTCTCCATTGCCCACTGCAGTACTTCCAGCTCAGAGTGCAAAGCAGACTCCAATCTATCCAAATTACACAAGCCCATCAACTGGCTATTCCCCGTACTATCATTCCAGACCCATCCACATCCACTGAACCGAGCTGTAGAGATCCAAGAGCCATTCACCATACAAATATTCCCCAGGCTTATGGCCTAGCTGTCGGCATCCATATTTTGTTGAGATGGCACGGTAACCTGTTCATTAGCTTGGAACCAGGTTTGGCATTCACTCTCTGCAAATCGGGCTAGTTCCAATGGATCTCTATCAATCCCTCTGAACAATTTATCATTACGAGCCTTCCAAATATACCATATTAACCAAGGATAAGGATCCATGTTTAAATCTGGTTCTGCTATGGCGTTTTTCCTCCAGAAAAGGTAGTCCATGTTCGTGTATGTTCTCTGAATTTGGAACAATGTAGGACTAGTGGGAACCGACAATAATGCCCAAACTTGCTTTGCAGATGGACACATGAAAATGGCATGCATAATTGATTCGTCGGGTTCCCCACATCGTGGACAGTAATTGTCACACCTTATATGTCAATAGTTCAAAGTGCTCGTAACAGCCACTTGACTTCTTACTAATTGCCACATAAGATAGCACATCTTTTGGGGTGCAAGCACCTTTCAAGCATGTGCTTGGAGTTTAGTGATACTAGGTTCACTAACTACAACTACCTCTTCCTGCTTTAGATTATTCCGTGCAATCCAATATCCTGATTTGACTGTATATTGGCCATTTGTTGTATAACTCCTGCAATACGTGTCTCTGCGATGTGTAGAGCTAATTGACATACTCTTTATGAGAGGTATATCAGCAGCATTTACGTAGTGCTCCAGCCTCGTCACATCCCAAGTCTTTGTTTCTTGATTAATAAGGTCGCTCACTCGCATGTTTGGATGCAACACCGGTGCAGATGGGGACGCCGGTCTCGCTGGTGTAAAAGGGATCCAGGGATCCTCCCATGCTTTCACCTCATACCCCAAATGGATCTTTTGTCTAACTCCTAGTAGAAGGAGTTCTCGTGCCGCCGATATACTTGTCCACACGTATGATGGGTTACTGGTAGAAGTCTGACGCAACGACGTACTTAATCGATAATATCGGCCTCTCAAGACACGAGCAACCAGAGAGTCTGGATATTGGACGAGTCTCCATAGCTGCTTTGCTAGAAATGCCAGGTTAAATTCATGAAGCATCCTGAACCCAATCCCACCCTCTTCTTTAGATAAACATAATTTGTCCCATGTTGACCAATGTATGCCTTTCTTTGGGGGATTTGAGGATCACCAGAACTGTGCAATGACACTAGTTAAGGCATCACATATCTCTAATGGTAGTAGAAAGCAAGACATAACATAAGTTGGCAGTGCTAGTAAAATCGACTTGATCATAACTTCATTTCCACCTTTTGATAACCACCTACCTGTCCATCCATTAACTATGTTCCTTAACTTATCCTTTAGGAATGCAAAAAGCTTGCATTTGGATCCACTGATATCCTCTGGAATTCCTATAGATAGGTTCCCATCTCCCCTTCATTCTGGATCCCAAGGGTATCCTTAATTTCTTGTCTAACCTCCTGTCCAATCCTCTTACCAAAGAGTAAGGAAGATTTTTCAAAGTTAATACACTGTCCAGACGCTTGTCCATACTTTCTGACCACTTTCATTACTTCTTCACATTCACGGGGCTCCGCCTTACAAAAGAACATGCTATCATCAGAAAAGAGAAGGTGAGATACTGAAGGACACGCATGTGTGATGCACATCCCCGTTATCTTCCCCTGATTCTCCGCGTGATTTAGAAGGCTAACGAGCGCTTCCGTGCACAGAATAAAAATGAAAGGGGACAGAGAATCCCCCTGTCTTAGACCTCTCTCAGGAACTATATTCCCTCTTGGATGACCATTCATAAGGACCTTATACTTTACTAATGTTATACATCGCATTATCCAGGTTATCCAGATTTCCGAAAAACCCATCT